GGTCAGTTGGGCCGGGAAGAAGCGGTTCATCATGGAACCCTTTCAGGACCTTGCTGCCAGGACACCCCTTCTTAGTGAGGGGTTCAGGAACCCACCGGGGTAGAGCCTTCAAATGCTTGAATGCTCCAGGCACTCTAGTGGACCTTCTCCAGGAGGCTGTCCCCTAAGGGGCCAGGGTTACAGACCCAAAGCATGAGCTGTGGCCCCCGGTTACTCCTTCCAGGCCCTCAGCCCATCCCTCCCCATAGCTACATGTATCAAGATCTTGGGGTGCAAGATGAGGTCAGGTCTCTTCGGTGGTACCGCGGGCTGTGATCTGTAGGCCACATGCATCATGGTTAGAGAGGGAAGGGAAGGAAGGTACCTGGGCAGTTGGGCCTCCCACTCTGGGACCGGTACCCGCCTCCCCTGTAACCCACTCTGGGGCATGGTGTAGGCTGTCACCTGGGTCGTCTACTCACTCTGTGCACCTCTGAAGCTGATCACAGAGGCAGCCCCACCTTGCCTGTTGCTATGATTTCTCAAACCCAGTAGCCATTCCTTCTTGTAGCTCCCAGAGCGACACTGGGGATGGGTGAGATGTCCCGTGAGCCCAGAGTCCCGAATGGTTTGGGCGCCCTGCCCTCACCCTGCTGCACCGAGACACGGCCCCCTAGATTCCAGCAGAGGGGTCTCTAGAGGGACCTGGCCTCCCCAGGCCCTCAACTTTCCAATCCTTAATATGATGACAATATTCCCTTCCCTTGAAACCAGACAATTTTAGAGTTAGAAGGAGCCTTGAAATCCTCCTACCCACACTCCTTTGCTTGCCAAAATAAAAAAATCTCGGAGATGTTTCTCTTGGTTCAGCTTCTGAACCAAGACAAGACCTTGGGTTTCTAGAGATGAACCAAAAGGCCCTCTCACCTCCAAGCAGTTCTCAAGCTTCAGGGTATACTGCAAGCCCGGGGTGGGGGCCGGGGGCGGGATTAAAAATGCAGACCCTGGGCCTCACCCCCCAAGCACCCATTCAGTAGGCCTGGGGGAGCACAAGAATCTGCATTTCAACCTAGTTCCTGTGTGTCTTCATTCCCCATCCACCCCCCTGGGCTCCTATAAGGAAACCAGGTGCTAGGCCCGCAGGGAAAAGCTTTAAAGCCTAAGGGTGTTACCCAGCTGTTCTCTATCTCCCCCAAACACTCCCCATTCTCTCCCCCTCTACCCAACGGCTCAGCTGAGTGATTTCCAAGGACCCTTGCTTCCAAGTCTGGAGTCCTTCCTACTTAAAGAGAGATGGTCGCTGTTGCAAATTGCCTGGGATCCACTATCTCACGGGAGAACCACCAGCCCAGGTGAAGGATCTGGGGCTGGGAGGAGGTCGGCCAGCTGCGACCCAGGGCAATCAGAGATTGGGAGGGGGCAGGGTTGGGGACAGCCTCACCCTCCCTCCTGATCTATCAGAAAGAATTAGGTGTAGGGTCAGACACTCCTGAGTGCACTCATCTCAGCCACTGACTATACGACACCGTGACCTTGTGCAAACCACTTCCTTTCTTTGCACCTTGGTGGATAAACCGTGGGTTAATTTACGTGCCAGTGGGTTAAGTTACCTGCCAGGCACAGTTGAATGAAAGGGGATGGCACCTGTCTATTACCGAGTGACATCCATCACAAGGTCAGGCCACCAGGTAAAATATAGGATGGCATATATTATGCTGAATTTCAGAAAGCGGCAAATAATTTTGTGTGTAAGTATATCCCAAATATTGCATGGGACATACTTATACTAAAATAGAACTTGATGTTTATCTGAAATTCAGAGTTCACTGGGCATCCTGGGGGGTTTTCTAGTTTGTTTTCTTATTTTAGGTTTGTCTGCTTTGTTTGGTGCTAAGTTGGCTAAGGGGCATTTCGGCAGGCATCCCCTCACCCTCTTCCTCCAGCCCCAGCACCAGTGGGACAGATCCTCCCGAGTCCCCAGACCCGGCCCTGCTTAACCCCCAAACGAGCCTGGGTGGAGGGGATCTGTTGCCTCCAAGGCATCCCTTCCTCCACCCCCCCGGGGTGTGCTCCGTGACCGAGTGCTCCCATCAGCACGGTGACCGCACAGGAGGCTAGCCTGGCAGACGAAGACATTTCTGCAACTGTCAGAGCCAGTCAAGGTCACTTGCTCTGCTCCGTTCTGCTTCTCTGGGGGAGGAGGGAACGGGGAGGCGAGGACAAGGCAACCAGGACAGGATCCCTTTGCTTCTGCCTTTGAGTCCCCTCTCCTGGGAGAGGCAGGGCACTTGCCTAGAAAACCCTGGAGCTTAGGCCTCATGGAACCCAATTTTCCTTGGCAGGAAGTAGGTGGCCACATGGTGGGGGGGGGAACCTGTGTCCCCCAGCTGTTGTTAACCCTCTGTGCCGTCACCCCTCTGGGCCTTCCAGTTAGAAGAGGATAGTAACAACAGCACTAACACTTAGATCGCGCTGCTCTGTGTCAGACACTGTTCTAAGAACTTCATATATAATACCTTTTTAATCCTCCCAGTAACCCTAGGAGGGGGGCACCAGCATCATCTCCATTTCACAGATGAGGAAATGGGGGTATGGAGGGGTCACAGAGCTAGCAAGAGGTCGAGGCAGGATTTGAACCAAGGCTGGGCCCTCACCCACTTTGCCCGGCGCCTCTCGGAAGATAGAAGGAGCGCAAGGCAGGAGGAGGAGGGAAGGGACGACAAGGACAGGTGTCTAGCAAGCACCGAGGCTGTGCTAAGCAATCGCGCACCCCCGACGGAGCTGATCTCATTCAAACCTCACCGCAAACAAGGTGTGGGATGCCGTTATGGCATGCTGAAGTCGGAGGGAAACTGAGGCTCAGAGAGAAACGTAAGCGGAAATCAGAACTCAGCTGTCTTGCATCAAGGCCCATGCTCGTCCCCTTGCTGCCCACCTGGCTCTGGTTCATGGTTCTCTGGACACTGCTCTGGCCACACACGTGGCAGTCCACAGTGAGGCCACAGCTGCTCTTGGCACACACATACTCCAACCACCCTTGAGGTGCCTGAAGTCCTCGTGCTCCCTTCTCGCTGCCTCCGTCTCTCCCCACTGAACCAGACCAACCCTCAACCAGGGCCAGGACACTGGTCCTTGCTCTGAGCCTGTCCATTCTTTCCCCCAGCCACACATCCCCACCTGGTGTCCCCTTTTCTTCCCTCTATCATGGGCCGGCCGTATGAGGAATAACATCCTACAGTCTCACTGTTCTTTGCATTCACCCAGGTTAGCTGGTTTTGATCCTAACAACCACCAGGTCAGACGGACCACCTGGTGTTGCCCATGTCCTATTTTCATACAGGAGGAAGATGGGGCTCAGAAAAGTTAAGGGTCCTGGCCAGACTCACCCAGTCTTTCCACCAGGACACAAACCTCTGTCTTCTGACTCTATGACCAGGACTGTGGAGGGATCTCAGAAGTCAACCAAAGCATTTTAGAAATGAGAAGTCAGAAACCCAGACAGGACATGTGGCCTGTTCAAGGTCATAGCCATCCATCCGTGGCAGAACTGAGAATGAAGTCTGCAGCTTTGAACCCTATAGCACCTTGCCCTCACGCGAGAACACATGGAACTAATGAGACCCACTCAACTAACGACAGAGGTTAACGATGCCCATTCCACCCAAAAGCAAAGACAGGAGAGATTAGAACCAAGGCATACCCCCTTCCACGATGAGGTTTTTATCTGGACATTCCTGTCTCCAGGACAGTCTTCTACTGGGGCAGGGAAGGTGACTGAGGGCAGGTCAGACCTTTTTAGGACTTGCTCCCCTGGTAGAGGCAGCCTGGGCTGAAAATGCCAGTTCAGGGGCCTGTGTCTGCTGGGGAGTGATGGCCCCGATGCCTGGGGTTCATGCTTAGTAAAGTATGGAGTGAAGAAGGAACCACAGGAATTCAGGGCATAGAGGAGCAACATCCTCGAGATCCAGGAAGTGGAAAAAAGATATACCAAATTTAAATCCACATCTATGTCACTTTTTATAACGTGCGCCTTACAGCTCTGGGTCCTATTCTGTCAAACCCTTGGGGGCAAGATCACTTGGGACTGAGGCCCACATGCCTACCCCTGGAAGCCTGGGATCCACGGGAGGGTACGGACATTCTGCCTGCTCCCCGTCCTGCGGCTCATCTCTATGGATGCTGGGGTACCCTCTTCTCGGCTCTGCCTCTGCTTCCCTCTGCTGGGCTTTCCACGGCCCCCTGACAGATGTGCCCTCTGTGTTTCCATCTGCCAAAGGGATCTGTACGTCCATCCGTGTCACCACTGGAAAAGCATACCAGGAAAGCAAAGGGTGCACCAGCCTGCTAAGGTTTTCGCGTTCAGCTTTTCACATCTGGTCTGAAAACCCACAGAGCTGCAAATCTTCACTGCATCACCAGCTTTTAGCCGGCTGCCAGTATTCCTCACCAGGAATATTTCTCATCGCTTTTGGATGGAAGAGCAAACCTGGGAGCTCAGAAACAGACTTGCTCAGGCTCTGGAAGCTACTGGAGAGCCCCTAGAACTGGCTGGATCTTTCGATCGATGTTCCGTGTAGCAAGAATAGCGCTCAGCCTTTCCCACACAGGAGGGTGTCTTCCACTTAGGAGGGGCCCATAAATAACCTGCACCCACCAGTCCTGGGACCCAAAGCCCAGTGAGTTGGTCTCAGACATGGGTAAAGGAAAAAAGGGAGGTCCCTAACTTCGGAAACTGAGCTGCTGGAGAAACAGGTGGAGAAGCATGGCATCAGGGCTCAAAAACTCCAGAGAATCCAGATGTAAGCCTCCCCACCCGCTTTCCCTGGCAGACTCCCAGGCAAAGTTCAGGCTGGAAATCTGCCAGGCTTATACCTGAGCAACTGTCCTGGGGCAGTTTCTCCCATGCACCCGAGCTGGGCTTCCAGACCTGACCCAAGACCCCTGCCACCCCGGATGCTCCCTGATCCCCCTACCCTCCCATCCCCAGCCGGGTGTGTAGCCCAGCCTGCCTGCAGGCTCACCTTTCGGCAGCTTGGACGCGTTGTCCTGGATCCAGGAGAAGAGGTGGGCAAAGTCGCAGTCGCAGAGCCAGGGGTTCCCGTCCAGGCGCAGGGTGCGCAGCGCGGGCAGCGCGGCCAGGGCGGCCACGTTGAGGCTGCGCAGATTGTTGTCGTTGAGTTCCAGCACCTGCAGCGACTCCAGGGTCTCGAAGGCGTCCTCGTGTACGCCCGCCAGCTTGTTGTTGGCCAGGCTCAGCTTGACCAGCCTCCCCGCCGAGCGGAAGGCGCCCGCGCCCAGCTGGGTCAGGTTGTTGTAGCTGAGGTCCAGGAAAGCCAGCTTGGCCGAGCCGCTGAACGTGCCCTCCTCCAGCGAGCGCAGCGAGTTATTCCTGAAGTCCAGGTACACCAGGTCGCCGTAGAAAATGAAGAAATCCTCGGGGATGTGCTGGATGCGGTTGCCGGCCACCAGCAGCTTGCGCACGTCCAGGGGGAAAGGGTCGGGCACGCTGGGCAGCCCGCGGTCGCGGCAGTCCACGGTGTGCGGGTCGGTGCAGGCGCAGCCCGCGGGGCACGCGTGTCCCGGCCGGAGCAGCAGCAGCAGCAGCAGCAGCAGGAGGCTGCAGAGCTCGAGCGCGGCGGCGGCGGCGCGGCCGGCGGGGGCGCGGGGGGCGGCGCGGGGGCGCATGGCCGGGGGGACCGGAGCGAGCCGCGGCGACTCGGACCTGGCTCTCGGAGCGAACCCTGGCGCGGGGCGGCGCGCGGGGTCCCGGCGACCAGGCGCTGGGAGCTGGAAGGCGGCCGGGGACGGCGTGCGCCCGGGCGCGCGGGGGCGACCTAGCGCAAGGCGCACGGACTCCGGGAGTCCGGGGCGGCAGGGACCGAGATGGGAGAGTCGGGGAGGGAGGGGCGAGGACTCGCGAAGGACTTACCGGGACAGGAAATTAACCCGCTGGAAAATCCCAGGGAGAGGCGGGGAGCGATAAAGGTGGCCGAGTGGCCGGCGCCAAAGCGGCCCCACCCGGGCAGCTTTTGTCTGAGACCGGGTAATAAGACCTGTCGCGCGAACTTGGCCAGGAGCGCTCGACGACTAAGTTCAGTTACTGAGCGCCCCCCAGCCCAGCGATTTCCAGAGGGCGCGTTGGGGGCCTTGCCCCGCACCCCAGCGCCCTCCTGGTGCCAAAGAGCGCTCCCCCTGCGCCAACCCCGTTGCCAAAGGGAACGCGACCTGGGTCCCTCTGGCTCTGTGCCCGGGGCAATCCCGGAGGGCTCTAGAGCCGCTGACCTAGGGTTGGGCGGAGCTCCTGAGTGGCTCATTTTCCCCTCCTCACTCCGCCCACCCGCACTTGACCCATCTCAGGGAGGCACTAGGGGTCACGTGCGGCAGGCAGCTGTGGCCTGAAGGAAGCCAGGGCTTGTCAGCACTTTCCATGTTGGCTGGAGCCTGTCAGGAACTGGAATCCCCCCTGGCAGGATTAGACCTGGCTGCTAGTCTACAAGAGGCACAAGGGAGAGGCACTGCGGCAGGGGGAGGCACGGACAGGGGTCTGGCTCCCAGTGGTGAGGCCTCTGTTCCAGGGCCTCCACCTCTAGGGAAACCCTGTGTCCCATCTGTGGAATGGGAAAGGGTAATAAGTATGATACTGGAAGGAGATTTCTCTCCAGGGAACACTATGCTCAAGCCGAACTCCTCCCCCCACCCCCCAGCTCCTTTAGAAATGGTTGAGAGGTCCCCACAGAGCCACCAAGAGTTTGCCCTGCTGCTGGCTATTTTGGTCCAAATACCATGGAATTGACAAGCTCCCAGAGAACCAAAATAACCCAAGGAACAGCTGTTGGGCAGGGGCCCCCCAGAGACCCTGCCCTGGTCCCTGGCCCCCACACAAATGGGTAGAGGGTCAGATTCTAAAACCATAAGAGCTAAGCCCCAGCTTTTTCCCAAAGGTACATGCAGTCTCTGTGCCTTCCGATGGATCAAACACCTGAGCCTCCGGGACGGAGCCAACAGCTCAACAGATGACAGGTGTTTGCAGAAGACCGGGATGGGGGTGGGGAGGAGGGTAGGTGGAGAGTTCCAGGGAACAGCTTCTGGGGTCCTCCAGCCCTTTACCTGCTTCTACTCTGAGCCACCATGCCAGACCTTCGGAATCCTCTGTGCCCCTACTTTCCCAGGGTCCCCCGCTTGCCTTTATCATCCCCAGGTGCAGAGGATCCACCCCCGCTCTGGCATCATCCTCTTGAAGAGGCAGATGCGGGAGGGAGGGGCTCATCTCAATCCTCCTAGAGTGGGTGAGCGTACCCCAGGCTTCATACATGATGTGTTACTTCAGTCTCAGACAAAGCACAGGCGGGTGGCAGAATAAAAAGGTCCCCCTGTTGCAACTCTCCAGGAATGCCCTGAACCCATCTGTGACACTCTCTGCCTTTCCAGTCTCAGGCTTGGTTTCGGCTGCTCACTCCGGTACTGAGGAGAGCCCCTTTATCCCTGGCTTGGGCCCACAGCATCACAGCTTCATGGTATCTGTGTTTGACTGGGCTCCCAGCTCACACGTGTGGACCCGTGCCCCTGTGTGCCTCCATGGGCACCAACCAGCCCTTCCTGCAAGGAAGCTGGCTGGCTGCGGCCCTGGCCTGGGAGTCGGGCTCCTGAACCTGGTCCTGGCCCACTACTAGTCACAGAAACTTTCATGGGCCACCTGATCTCCCCTGGGAAACATTTCTTAGCCTGGGGTCCCTGGGCCCCTTGGTGATGAACACTTTTCAGAATTTAAAAAAAAAAAAAAATCAGGTGAAACCGGACCTTTATCTGCAAGGAGGCCACCCAGAGTAAATGCTGCAATTCTTGGTAATGGACTTGATGGTAGCACTGATTCTTTTGTGCTGTGCAAAAGCTGGCATTCACGGATGACTTTGATTAATGAAAATGGAGATGCGTTTCTACGTACTAAATGCAAAGGGTTTAGCAAGGGCTTTCAAAACAGGGGTGCTTGGTGGTAAAGTAAGGAAAGGGGCTTCTGCTAATGAAACTGTTGAGAAACACCACTCCTGGCGTGGATCTTTCTCATCTTGGAACTTGGGAGAAAATACTGGCTCTCCTCTCTTCCACAGACTACGTAAGGCCCACGTGGGGAAATACTGGTAGGAAACATGATCTAAAGAATATTTAGAGAAACTGCTTATAAAAGTGGCCCTAACCATCTGTACCCCAATGTTTATAGCAGCAATGGCCACGGTTGCCAAACCGTGGAAAGAACCAAGATGCCCTTCAACGGACGAATGATAAGGAAGATGTGGTCCATATACACTATAGAGTATTATGCCTCCATCAGAAAGGATGAATACCCAACTTTTGTAGCAACATGGACAGGGACTGGAAGAGATTATGCTGAGTGAAATAAGTCTAGCAGAGAGAGTCAATTATCATATGGTTTCACTTATTTGTGGAGCATAACAAATAGCATGGAGGACATGGGGAGTTAGGAGAAGGCAGTTGGGGTAAATTGGAAGGGGAGGTGAACCATGAGAGACTATGGACTCTGAAAAACAATCTGAAGGGTTTGAAGAGGTGGGTT